ATTCTAACCATTTGAATTTTTTTTTATAAAGTTTGTAAAAAAAAAAATATTTCGATGCTTTGGTACAACTTGCTACAGACATGTACGACCCCCACCTCCCCCAAAAAAATCTCGTACTTTGGTTGGTTGTACAGAATAGTTATAAATTTAGCAATGGTACTACATTTTATTTTAATACTTTAGTTCTAGCGAGTCGTAATAGATATTTGGACTGTTATTCCCAATTTTATGCCTGAATATTTCTTGGAGACCTATTTTATAAAGATGCGTGCGTGATGCAGTGACTTTGCTAAATCTTAATTTTTGTTTTTACTTCGCCTTAGGTGCTATATCAAAGACGTAAACGTCATTTAATATTCACATTTGATATTACTATTAGGTTTACACCTAATATTTATATTTTCTTGTATTAGTGCATTTTAATTTCTATTGGCGGGTTAACTTAGTGAACTTAAATTTTAAAATTCCCAGGTTGATTCTATTCAACAGCTTTTAACAATATGCATAGTTCGAGAATTAACACAGTCATTGGTTTGACAATATACATATGTATGTTGTGTGTGTGTGTGGAACATAAGCTTTCACTACCCATTATTCGATTTGATACATATCGCAAATAGTATTCCAGGGATCACTACCGTAATTTGAATAAAACTGCAGCGTGTAGACGGCGCTGTATCGCTTCTGAGCATGCGCACTGACTAAGAATATTTTGCTAACTATAGAGTATAGACAATTTTAAATCGATTGGCTTTCGTCATTGCATACTTTGATGGTAGCTATAGTATAGGGTTGTATATTTAAGCAATGTCACTTAGCTGCCCATTTTTTTCCTAGTACGGAAAGCATTCCCATTTTTATCTGTAAGTTACATATATTAGTTCATCATTTCTTAATAAATTTGGATTTTTTTGACCTAACGTAATAGAATTTTGGACAGATCGAAATTTGTAAAAACATATTTTTAAGTCTGGTATTTATAGTGGTAATTAATGATGGACTACTAACATTTTGATAGTCCAGATTTTAGTAATAATAGTATATTCTCTGTGTAATATTATTCTGAAATATAGTTCTGATATTCAATCCTCGTTTCAAGGTAGGTATAATTTTCAGTCTGCCTGTATTAACTACAGATGCAGTGGCCTGTGTTTTGATAGGTGAACTTTTCTGATTGCTTGAAGTTGAAGTGTTTTAAGGTTATTATGCGTATGTAAAAGACTAATTATTGTGGCACCTGAATTATATTTTCATACAAGTGGCACATTTTACATTAGCTAGAAAAATATGCTAAAATGAGAGGTTAAACGCACTTGCAGGAGAAAAACCGACTCCATTTACTCAACTGTTTTGCTAAAGTAAACAAAGATAGCAAAAATGTAAGACCAATCAAATACTTAACTTTTTTTCTTTTTTTTTACCTATTCTCCTTAGCAAAATTTATTCTAGATTTCCTTATTAAATATGCATACTCCAAATTCATCTTGCATGTTTTCACACAACACACGCATAGTTTCATCTGAAAATACACTGCACTAAAATAGATGGTGTGAATTTGTACGTCAGTACTATAATATTGTAATCGTGTAACATCAATACCAAGTTACTTGTGTCGACCATACTCTATATTGAGGTGAAATGTCATGAACCATGAAGATGTAAAGCTCCCTCTACTGAATGTTTGTATCATTTATACTTCACATCACATGACTGATCAAGAGCCACTCCATTTTTTATAAAGATGAACTAAAGGTGACCGACATTTTGCAAGTGGTTTTGTTTCGTCAGTACGATAATACTACAAATTCACACCATCATCTATTTTAATGCAATGTATTTTCAGGCTGTCCAGATGAAACTATGCGTGTGTTGTGTGAAAGGTGACTGACATTTTACAAGTGGTTTTATTTCTAAGAGTAGAGATTGGGCCCTAAATACCTCGAATCTGTCTTTCAAAAAGACATTTTCGGACATATTTATTGTGTAGATTCACTTGACATTTAACCATTGGTACATAAAAGACAAATTGGAAAAAGGCTATATGTGTTTTCTTTTATATAACCTGAAATATCCGACTTATGGATTGCAACATTAATCGTAAAAAAAAGTATCTTTTTGGTGAATTACGTTAAATACTATGAGCTATGAAAGTAAGGTAACGTAAACAGCTAAGCAGAAAAATAAAAGTGACCGTCGATATGACCTATATTATGAACAGACGTTAAGGAGAAACAAGACGCAGGCATAGCAGGTTTTCAGGTATATAACCATGTTTGACAGGAAAAACGAAATGCTTAGTCCTTGAAAACTGAATCTATTATCCGATCTATAAACACGCAGTCGATAAAATACATAGATCCTAATAATTACGAAGGTGTAAAAAAAAATAAAGTTGTACATAACGAATACTTTCAATTTTCCTTGTCCAAGACAACCACTGTCGAGTTTACATTTTCCTTATTCCACTGGCGCGTGACTTGAGCCTTGTTCAGTAATGGTTGATTTTAAGGTGTCGTCCGACCTTGAATTGTTTATCCTAGTAGTTGGGTCGGTGTTGTTTTTTTTTCATCTTTTTTTCCTCATTCACCGAATGTCTGATATAAATAATATCATATGAATGTATGCAGAGAAAAACTTAGAGAACTTTTTGCGTCGAAAATACTTGCACAGAACATTACTATTAACGGATGAGCCAGTACAAAATTAGATTGATGTAGTATTTTTGTGCATTTAAGTTTAAAACTGATAATATTCCTATCAAATAACCTAGTACAGACGACGACGAGTTTTGTGTGTGTATGTAT